GGAGGGTCTCATATGAAGACGATGTTGGGGAGAGAGCTGGTCATTTCCATTTTGCTCTTGAGGATACAATGCTAAACGTGAAATCTATGGCATCCTGAATCTTTATCAGGAATATGAGCTCACCCAGCAGTCTCTGAACTCCTACACAGGTCAGAGGCAGACAGTAAGCAAGTAGCTACAAACATTAGACTTTATGGGTAGCGCTTTGAAGGTCTGTGTGTTTATGTAGCTCATACTTGGCTTACGGTTTTATTCATGCCATCACAACACAAGACCAGGCACAGGAAGAGTATTGGTTTTCACAAATAGCCTTAGCTTTAGTGCCTCCATTTCCTTCATCCCATGGTTACTTAAACTCTAGCATCAGACCCACCACAGAGCAAGTTCTTAGTACCTATTTGCTGAGTCTGATGTCCGCAAACTCATGATTCTGTGCCTGTCAGAGCTAGAGAGTCAGCCCTGAGCCGCTAGTCCAGTGATTCATACTAGGATGACTGTGTGCCTGTTGATTGCTTTCATTTACATACGTCTTTGCTTACTTAACAGATTCCTAATCACTAGCTGTCAGTCATAACCAGCACTGTCATTGCACCTTCTGGAACCAAGGGCTAAAGGAAACCCCCCTGCCAGGACCACCTCTCCCTGCCTTCCTTGCTTCTCTTCTTGCATAGTACGGACTTCTAGAGCCTGTGACCTGCCTCAAGAAAATGCAGTCTTCAAACCCAGACTCAACACTCTCGGCCTTTAACGAATGAGAATGGATCTTCCAAGAACATGAAGACTAATGACGTCAGTTTGCTTTTGCGAAAGCGAAAGTGTCTCTTTACTTCCCGCTGGGAAGGTGCCCACGGCACTCCGCCTTCCTCACAGAGCCAGGGCTTCTGTGAGGGCATCTCCAGGCCGCGCTCTCAGAAGCGTTTCCAGGATGTCAGAGAAAGAAGGACTCACTAGAACTCAGCACCGAGCCACCCCTGACATAGGTCCTCAGGAGTGGGGAAGCAGGAGCCAAAGGATGATGCTTACCCAAGAGACGATTGTATAAAGAGAATACGGAGGCGCTGTTACTCGTTCGGTACTAAGTCATTTTCAGGGGACAGACAGAAAGACTTGCTGCATGTCCATCTGCTGACCTGTGTGAGTTAACCCAACCATCCATACGGGCGCTTGAGTAACAGGAAGGGAAGGAAAGCCTGGCTTCCAGACTTCCTCCCTTCAGGCGCTCCTCACACATCTGCAGTGGTCAGGGTAGGGGTTCGAAGTGTGAGGCCACGCTGGCTGCCCTTGGCTGGTCATGCTGGAACTGACGGTTCATTCTGCACATGCTATGTGCAGATGTAGCAGGAGCACAGGAGACCATCTCAGTGAGCTCTCGCTGCCTCTGCAGGAGGGGCAGCACGCCTTCATTTTATGGTTAGAACGGCACAAATTTTCTATCAACCTACCTGAAACATTCCTTTTCCTTTTTTCTTTTTTCTGTTTCCCCAGTTACCATGGAGTTTTCCAATTCTCTTCTGGTTTTTGTTTAACAAACGCTTTAGCAATGTAATATATTTATATTTTTTTTCTCCCTACTCTGGAGAGGACACGTCTGAAGGATTGTTACTGAAACAGGAAGCGTGGGACTATCTGAATCACCCTCGTAGTGAGTCTTTATGACTGTAAGATTGTAAATACAGATTATTTATTAACCCTGTTCTACCTGGAATTAGATTGCACATGGCAAATGTTTGCGAGCAGGTAGCTGAGGTGGATCAGCAAAGCTCTCCAAAACCAGTGTGTGGAAAGCCAGCAGAAGTTGCTGCTTCTCGGTTGGGGGCTTAGAGTGAATGATCCAGGCTCCCTTGGCTTTTCCCCTGGGATTTCTGTCTTTCCAAGTGGAATTAGGTGGCCACCAGCTGCACGAGCTTCTCCTTGTAAAGGAAGCCATGAACACTCTAGGGCTAGTCCACACCATCCCGTGCCTATTCCAGGGAGGAGAAAACATAATCACCTTCCTTTTTTCTCTCTCTCTCATTTCCCCAAAAGATACAAAGGTGGAACTTATATACAAATATTACCTCATTTGTTGTGTGACTGAGTAAAGAATTTTGGATCAAGTAGAAAGAGTTTAAGTGTCAATAAACTTAAAACTACTGTCGTGTCTGAAAAGTCAGTGTTGTAGATAGCATGAGCATCCTTTGCGGAAGATGATCCCAATAAAGAAATAGCTTTGAAATGTTAAATACAACCTCTCAAGGTTCTGGTTTTGTCCTAACATCTTGTACTCTGTTGCTTTATTTTTATAAATTATTTTCTCATCGCCATTGGAACAGAGATCTCAGACTATGTAGATATGCTATTTAAATAATTTATCAGGAAATACTGTCTGTAGAGTTGGTATTTCTATTTTTATATGTTTGCACACTGAATTGAAGAAATGTCGGTTTTTCTTATTTTGTTTTAGTTTGTTTCTTTGGTTTCGTTTTTGTCTTTGCTTTTGACTCCCCAGTTTTTACTATTTGCCAATACCCCTTTTTTTCTAGGAACATGCTTTTTTTGTACACATTTTTATCCATTTTACATTCTAAAGCAGTGTAACTTGTATTTTACTGTTTCTTATGTACAAGGAACAACAATAAATCATATGGAAATTTATATTTATACTTTCTGTGTCTGTGTTTATTTTGTTCTTGATTGTCTGGCTATCATGGGGGTATGGGCAAAAGTCATCCTTTAACCAATAGCACAGTTAACCACATATACATTCTTAACCACATATACATTCTTAACCACATATACAGCATGGCAGGAAATAGCATTCAGGGTTCCTGTGTGATTGACAGACGCTAGACTCAAGACACATTTGCTAGATTTTTGGAAGACGAAAAGCATGAATCTGCCACATGAAAACCTTAAAATAAAAATGACCCTTGAGTCACAGGCCCCAAAGAAAACATTTCGTATTTTATTAATATTAGGTGTCTTATGTTGAATCCTCAAAGTCCAGTTCTGTTTCTAAAAGGAACAGTGATGACAAAGGAAAGGACAGCTGGGAGAACAGGTGACTTTCCCTGCCCCTACATGATGTCACAGGATCACAGAACAGCAGCTCCCAGGGAAGCCTCAGGGAGGAGCTGTCCTGGGACTGAGCCTAGGGCTCCAGACAGTAGTTTGGAGAAAACAGACTTCGGGCACAAACAGAGAACTAAAGAATTACAAAGGTGGGGCTAGAGAGATGGCTTAGCAGTTAGCAGAGAGCCGAAGCACAGTGTCCCTTGTGGGCAGCACCGCCATCTCCTGCAACACTAGCCAGGGATCTGAGGCTTTCTTGTCGCCTTTGTAGGCGCCTGCACTCACATTTACAAACTACACACACACACACACTCATCGTCATCATCATCATTTTGATCACTTTGTTACAACACAGCAAATTTTAGAAGGCATGTATGTGGGTGTGAAGTTATTCAGTGAAGACAATGTTATCCTGTTCAACATCTGAGCAGAATCTGAGGCTTGGATGGATTAACCATGGATGTGCAGAGCTGACTAATTTCCAATTCTAATAAACAGATCAATAAAGGGAGAAATACTAGTAGGTGAAAGATGGCTTTGAGGTCTGGGAAACACTGGAACAGATTGGCTGTGTGAAGTGGAGTCTGCTTCCCTGGCTGGACCTCTCTAGTCGAAACCACGGCCTTGGGTGGCGTGAGGCAAGGAGGAAGTGCCGCACCTGCCCCACAGGCTTACAGAGAAGCAGTGACAGCTAGCAGATTGCAGAGAACGTGATCGACAGTAACAACCATCCGAAATGCGGCCTCAGCTCCACTCAGGTTGCTCCCTATGTGGATTCCTGGAGGAGAATCCTATTTAATTTTTAGCAAAATGTTGCAGCAAAGCTGATGGAGAACATCGGGCTGAGGCAGGAAAAGTGGCCAGGTTGGCGCTTTCGGGCTAGGCTTGTTCTATTTCACTGTAGGAACAACCTTCAAGTCAGTAGGCTATACCAGATTAAAGACTTGTTAAAAACTAGAATTACATCATCAGGATGATAGACTCTGACTCATACGGGAGTTTATTGTCATGTGTTCTAGGACTGTTTGGCTGGAAGGCCATAAACTGGGTCCTGCGGAATTTACAGTCAAAGCGGTGTTGGTGGCTTACAAAAGAGTCCTGTCTAGAAAAACTATACTACAGCCCCTGAATACCTTCATAAAGTCAGTCTCTCTCTCTCTCTCTCTCTCTCTCTCTCTCTCTCTCTCTCTCTCTCTCTCTCTCTCTCCCCCTCCCCCCCCCCCCTATAATTTTTATTCTTGTTCTTGTTCTGGAGGAAACGCCCCAGCTTATAGGAAGCCAGAGTGGTGTGGAGTGGTGTGGCTTGGTTAGGTTTTAAATCAGGAGACTGTTGTTAAACTACACTGTATAGCTCGCTCATTCAACCTTGCTGCTTTCAGCCAGCATGCTGTGGAAGGGTGTTACTCTTTTTAATTAAAAAGTTCATTACGGAACCTCATTATCTCCTTCCCCTTGCCTAACTCTGGCAATAGCCGGGCTCCTTGTACCTCAAACACCATCTGCAGAAGCTGTCTGTAAAGTCATAAGCCTGTGCAATTTCCATAGAAATGGCTTCCTTTGTGTTTCTCTTTCGGCTTCTCTCTTCTCTCTCCTCTCCTCTCTCTATGTCTCTGTCTCCCCATCATCACCCCCTCTCATACACGCAGCCCAAATACAAGAAAAGCATGGATGTAGGAGGCTTGAGCTCTTCTGAAGGGCTGGTGCGCAATAATAGCTTCCTTCACTCTGTCCCACTTCCAAGTGCCCCCCCATGCCACCCCTGCCCTCTGATTGTTCCCACTGAACTCTTCAGTACCCAGGAGTGCCACAAAGCATTCTGAGAGAACCCAAGATCGTGATCTCTTTTAATTTTTGCCGGCATCACACAGCAAAAGTCAGGCATTACAATAAACCACACTGCAGTACATGGACATCAGTGTGTGCCGTTGCTATTTAAAATGGGTAAACAATAGGCTAGGGTGTGCCTCTGTGGGAGAGTGCTTCTTGGCTAGTGTGTGCAAGGCCCTGGGTTCAGTCCCCTGTACCTCAAAATCGACAGAAATGAACCAACAGGAAACTGAAACGGGAAGACAGGACAAAGACAGCCATAGGAATGTTCATGCCCTTGAATAGCTATAGGATTCTTCACCTCAGCAAGTCAGGAAGATACATAAGCAATCATTGAAGTCAAGCAGGGACAGCAAACAAAGGGGACAAAAGCAAATAATGCTGTCCATGCAGTAATCCAAACTACGTCTGGGCTGCGATAAGCTTATTATGAATTAGGAATGAACTAGTCTTACATCTATGAGGTCAACCCAACATACACACGTGGCCATAAAAGCTTCTCATGAGATCGGATTACTGACCCAGAACTGGACAAACATTCTCTCTTGAAATGGTGCTACAGACTTTCTTTTAATAAGGCCCACCTTTATGTCCTGCATGCTAAAAGGCCCACCCTCCAGAAGAATGTAACAAACTGAGAGTAATAAAAAATCCATCACGCTGCAACTTAAGAAAGGTATCATCTGGCTCAGCGGCTAAGAGCGCTGGCTACTCTCCCAGAGAACCCAGGTTCACTCCCAAGCACCCACATGGCAGCTCACACCTGTCTGTAACTCCAGTTCCAGGGGACCCAATGCCCTCATACAAACATACACGCAGGCAAAATACCAATGTACATAAACTAAAAATGAATCATTTTTCAAATGTATTTTAAAAAAGAAAAGGAAAGAAAGGTATTGTCGCTAACTAGAACAGACTCAGCAACTTTCCTTTGTTATGGGAATTCATTTCTTCCCAAGGCAAGCTGTACTTGTGGACAAACAATCAGACGGGCACAGAGAAGGAAAAATGAGGCAGAACAAAAAGCCACTGTGGCCACAATCCACCTGAATCATAAAGAGTGGAAACACATAAGCCCAACACAGTGGGCTGGAGATACAGTTTAGTAACAAAACGTTTGCATCCAGATGCACAAGGCCCTGAATTCCATCCCCTGCACTGCCCCCAACAGAATGAAACAGAGAGCAATAAACTAGTGTCCACTAGACTTCACACCACCTGCGTATATGTTACAATGTTGGTTCTTTTTTTGTTTTGTTTTGTTTTTTTGTTTTTGTTTTGTTTTTTCGAGACAGGGTTTCTCTGTAGCTTTGGTGCCCGTCCCGGAACTAGCTCTTGTAGACCAGGCTGGCTTCAAACTCCCAGAGATCCGCCTGCCTCTGCCTCCCGAGTGCTGGGATTAAAGGCTTGCGCCACCACCGCCCTGCCACAATGTTGGTTCTTATAGAGTATCCTTGAGATCGTAACATTAGCGATACATTTGTAAACAATTTTCCCAGGAATTTCAATGAATAAAAACCAGCAAACATTTACACCCCAAGTTTCAAAACTATCAAAAGAATGTAATCAGCAAAGAAGGGAATTCAAACGTTGAGATCATTTGGGGAATAGTCTCTATGACACATTCACTATTACAAAGGATTCAGGAAAAAAATAGATAACGCCACTTCATTTCCAACTTTCTTAGGCTTAAACCCCAGAAAGTCATGCTTCCCGTTTTTCTGGTTCATCCACAGCATCTCCAGGCTCCTGTGTATCTGCTAATAAAATAACTACAGTGATTATGCAACCAGGAATACACGCATAATTAATAAAAATTACTCAGCCTGTTAAGCATTAAGTCATTCATTCTGCTGTATGATATAATGACCACAGCCTATTTGCTGATATAGAGTCGTTACCAAAAACTACAGACGACATCAACGGGGAAAATAAGGTCTCTCTTTTCACTGGGGCTATCGTTCAGAAAACAATTGAGGGTTGAAAGATTGGAGATTTAGGGGAAGACGTAAAAATTACCTTTTGGCTTTCTACGAAGCTTCTGAGGAGTAGGTTGGAGTCAAAAGTAAATGCTGCATGAGGACCCACTGCCTTTTTTCTCTTAAAAAAGAGGGGGGAAATTGCTCCGCAAATGGAACATAGTTTTCTGTCTTTGATAGAAAGGCTAGCAAAAAAAGGTAGAACCACAATGAAATCAAATAAGAGAAGACAATAAAAGGGGAAATCAGGAGAAAATTGTAGGTTGTGTAGTCAAAAATTGTCTGCCCTCAAAAGGTTACTATAGGCCTCGCAATTCCACTCCTTCATATATGCCCGAGCTCAAAGGAAAACAACACACAAAAAAAAAATGCCCAACAAAACTTCATATTTAAATATTTATATCAGCATTATATGTAATAGCTGAAAGGTGGAAAGGGCCCAAGAACTTATCAATTAATGAACAGACAAATTAAATGGGCTGTATCAATACAAGGGAATATTACTCAAAGTAAAAAGAGCAGAGCAGGGATACATGCTGCAACATGGGTAAATCTGGAGAACACTGTGCTGTGTGTAAAAAGCAAGCACAGAAAGTGTGTGTTATAATGCCACCTTCAGGAAATACTCGGAGCATGCAAACTTACAGAGGTTCAACGTAAAGAACTGTGGTGACGGTGTAGTTACAAGGAAGTATCAAACAGGATGTAGAGGGAGCTGGGGCAGGTAAGGAAGGGGCTATAGCATCACATGCATGCCCTACGCTTTGTGAATTTGAGTCCTCTTCTGTGTAGTGGTCAAATCCCACCCAGCAAAGGGCTATTCACGCTTGGGGGCTAACCTCAAATCACACCTCCCATCTCCCAGCATTCATTGCTTCTCCTGTAATCTCACCCAATCAATACGGACTCATCCCAAGTTGTTAAAAAAAAACAGGAATCAGGAGGGAAACGTGAGTTAAGAGGGAAAGATGGAGAAATGAGTGTGGGGTTGTCAAGTAGCCCAGCAGGCAGAAACACGGGACTGGGGTGGGTGTTAGTTCAAAATCAACCAATCATAGACCTCAAAGGGAATAGACAGACATTAGATAGATAGATAGATAGATAGATAGATAGATAGATAGATAGATGATAGATGGATGGATAGATAGATAGATAGATAGATAGATAGATAGATAGATAGAAACAGGGAGGGAGAGAGAGAGAGAGAGAGAGAGAGAGAGAGAGAGAATGGATTTTAGAGTAGGCTACATTAGAGATTAAACTGTTTAAATAGGCTCACAAATTATGACATCAATTTCTGACACAGATAAGTAATTGAATACTTGTTTGTGTTAAAAGCTACTCACAGTGATTGGCTCCTGAGCCATTGCGCTATTGTAAAATGCATCATATCTGGAAATGTAAGAGTGGTCTGGGCAGGCATTTTACATCTGAGCATGGTCTTTTACAAACGTATTCCCTGAGAGCAAATTTTATCATTAAAGTTTAGAGACTGAAATCTTTTTAAATTACTTATTGCTATTCAAAACGCTTTCTCTTTCTGTCTAAAAATCAACACTGTCTTCAGGATGGCAGAATTACAGTGAAGACTCCTGAGCCCGTTAACCTCTCCTTACCTCTTAAGAACATTGATAAACACTTGCCTAGGCTTGCCTGCTCCTGATGGCAGTGCCTGGGCTGACGTTAGATGCGCGTCATTGCACCCTCCTCTCCTTTAGCCCACAGGATCACTGTGTTGAGATGACTGAGAAATGTTCACAAACCACATGCTCTCCAGCCTACCTGCTGATGCTGGCTCCTCTGGATGAGGCTTTGGCTGCTGGTCTTCTGAAGAGGACTCCACATCGATGGCATCCAGGGCATCCTCCAAGAAAGGGGGCTTTTTCAGTCTCCCAATGCCAACGGTCTTTGACATAAAATAGTCCGTTGCATCGCTGAAAGCCTCCTCCTTAGTGAACTGGAGCTCTTTCATGGTCTCCATGTCTGCCATGAGAGCTTCTGCTTTGTAGTGCCCAGCCAAGGCTCTGGTGAGATAGGAGCCCACGGCAGGTCCACACCCCTCGTCCTCAAGCCTGTTTGCATCATCTAGCAGGGATTTCTGGACCTCGACTTTGGACTCATCTGGTAATCCGCAGGGGGTGGATGGGCAAAACTGGGAGGGCTCAAGGGCTGCGTCAACGTCTTTGTTTTCCCCTCCAGAAGAAAGGGCAAGAGGGACGCATTTCTGTTGGGATACACACTCCTCCAGAAGACACTTCAGCTGCTCCTCGGAGAGACGTGTGGAGTTTAGCTGAGGAGACAGATCGGAAGTTTTCACGGTCAATTGGCTGATTGAACATGTTTATCCTGGGTAAGCGTCCAGGAATACAGTGGAACTTCAAGTGTCAGGAAAGCACACACCCAACACGTGTGAACAGGAAGCAAAGTTATTCTGAAGCCTTCCCAGCTGCAGGAGGCTAGACAGTAATGTCCAGAATAAATTCAGAATCAACTGTACACAGCAATCTGGAGGAGGAACTCATACAACACTGATTTTAGAAAAACGAACCACTAGCACCCTCCACACACGGAGAAACAACTGGAGCTGAAGAGGAAGCACCTTCCACTGGGGCACACGGAAAGGAATCCTTCCATGACTTCCTGTCAGAATTCTTCTGTCTCCACCCAGTCCTCGGGGAAGACCGCATGCCACTCAATTCTGAAACTGGGGGAAACCAGGACCAATGGCACCGCCATCACCCCCCCCCCCACACACACACACACACCCGGGATTCACCATTCACGTGTCTGTCCACTGCTTTCAGTAGACAATACTGCCGAGGACAGAAGAGGAAGGCTGAAGGTGTGGTTGCTTCCTGAGTTGTGTGGTTGCTTCCAAGTGACAGGCCTTGACAGAGGCCAGGGGCATTCCCAGGGCAGCGCATCCGAGAAGAAAGATTTGATCACACATATTCAGTCTCCACTTGTAAAGACTATCCAGGGATGAGTGTTTTAAACAAGACATGAATTTAAAAACCCTTTTTCCTGTACCATCATGTGCAGAGGCTTGAACCCAGGACTCTGCACACGGTAGGCAAGCATTCTGCCAACTGAATTACGGAGTGGCTGGTGTGTGTTGACGATATGTGTGACATTCTCTAAAAACAAATGTAATTGACATTAAAACCCCGCAGTTTTCTTCCAGTGATGTTCTGAGAAAACACCAAACTGAAAACTGTTCAGAAAGGAATGGCTTCCTTCACTGAAACACAGTGAAAAAGTGCCCTCCTCCAGTAAGTCGGCATTCAGAGACGCGGAAGAAAACACTAACCAATACGCCTACCTGACAACAAGCAGGCCCCATAAGAAAGCTTACTCATCAATCCCAAAGGCCGTAACTTCTACCTCAGCAATGCTCTTCGCCTGCTGTGAATATCCACAAAGAAGGAATGAGAGATGAAGGTCAGTGGGGAAGTACCTAACTATCGTGTACAAGGCCCTGAATTCAATCCCCAGTAACACACATAACACACATACCCCCAAACCAGAAGAAGCAGCTAAATATTCTATATGCACTGTATAGGTACATGCACAGTACTGGTTGGTCTCGCCATTATTAGAACAAGCATAACTGACTCCTTCCTCTCCCCCACCCCTTCTCAGGCAACTAACAAACAGTAGAGTAACAAGTTTTATAACACACTTTTAAAAATAGATCATATTTTTTCCAAATTACATTGAACTAATCTGTAAAACTCAGTTGATGCATGGTTATGTATGACTTTAATCCCAGCACTCAGGAGGACAGAGGCAGGTGGATCTCTATGAGTCCAAGGCCAGTTTGATCTACATAGTGAGTTCCAAATCAGTCAGCATTGCAACCCTGTCTCAAACGAAAAATTTTTTAAGAAAATAAAAAGTCAGTGGCAACCACTGTGAGTTTGACAATAATAAGAAATTGTCTAGAAATGTTTTCATAGGGATAATCTGGAATACAATTCAGATAGCTTAACCTGAAGTCAATATACATGTGAAGAAATAGGAGTTGAAGTATAATATAGCAAATCATACTTTTAATAAATAACTTCCAGAATCCAGATGTGGTATTAGTCCTATTTTCAGGGCATCTCCTTCCCCCTACTATACAAACCTAATTAACTAGACAGCAAAGGCAGTCCTCATACAACAGTAGGGGCTTAAAATACACCTTCCAGTGCTGCTTACATGAAACGTTCACAAGGAGGGGACTGCCAGCTGGATTTAGAAAGAAGGCACTACATAAACCCCCTTATCGGACGTTTGTCCTTATGAAGTTGTCAGACAACAGAACAACTGGCTCCGGGTTGGAGCAAGAGAATAAAGGACTGTGGAAGTCGGGCCTCTGAGGCAGCAGGTGGGAGGGGGAACTGGCAAGGAATCGTCTAGGTTTGGCTGTTTCCAAGAGCAACAATGATAGATTAGAAGCTTGGAAATTCTGACGATGACTTTGGCTAGCTACCCAGAAGAGTAAAGCAATTATGAACTCTGAAAGGAGAGCAAAATATTTTATAAAAATGAGGGGTGCAGAGTCAAACACATACAGAGGATGGGGAAGAGGGAGAACCAGGCAAAAGTGATTTTTATCTGTAGGACAAACAAAGACCTTGGAAATGGAGAACCGAAGATGAGCTTTCAACTAACTCCTCTGAAATGGTTTTTTATAAGCAACTGGTTTTTAAAAAAGAGATAAAGGGCAGAGGCGCCGCTGGGGAGCAGGGAGTATATATCACGTGCAGGCTCTGGATTCAGTCCGCAGTGCCACCAAAATGCAAAGAAAAACATACAAAAGCCAATGCAGAGAACACTTCCCTGTTAACACGGGAGAGCAGCTGGCTATGGGTACAAAAACAATATTAAAAATAAAACTTGTATTCTTTAGCCTCTCCACAATACGGTGGTAAACTGTTATCATTTTTTCCCCAAAATCATTACCAGCAGAAGTGAGTCAAATACAGTAATCTTAAATTTTTAAGTTTAGCCCAGTGTTTCTGGGTGCCAGTGTAGATCAGAAAATGCCACGCGAGCCACTTATCCCATCTCATGGTTCCCAATAGAGCCTTCCCCACGGAAAACTCAATAAATGGCTATGGTAGAAATCAAATAAGTGAAGGAGGCCCAGAGAGTTCTGGAAAATACTTAGCTGCTCACGGATGCTAGGCTGGACTAGACTCGGGCTCTATACAGCCATCCCTGACTATGACGGACAAGGCTTCATCCAGATTGCTCATGACACCCCTGAGTTAGTGAGCTCCGAGACTGAGTCATTTCGTGTAAGAAGTCTAGGAACCTGTCCAAGCACTCACCTCCAAGAATCTACAGTCCACGACAGCTGATTTCCACACTGTCATGAACCAGCTGCTCTTGTCATCCCTGTCCATCTAGCTCATGCAGGCGTGATCCCGTGGCCGCCGAGAGCAAAAGCCCCTCTCCCCTTCTCCATTTTAGTTGTCCCTTTTAAAGTCCTCTTTCCTTCTATTTTTTAAAGGTTTTGTAAAAGTATGTCTTACTTTAAGGATATTTCCCATGTGGCTCCTTCTCTCTCCTTCCTATTAGCCCCTTTGTTCCCCTAAGCTGTTTGACTTCTACTTCTATATCATTGCTGTGTGTGTGTGTGTGTGTGTGTGTGTGTGTGTGTGTGTGTGTGTAAAAGAGTCACAGTTAGAGAAAATCAACCAATAGTTGTCTTTCTGAGACGGGCTTAATTCACTTCATACACTTATCTCCAGTTGCCTCCACTTTCCTTCCAACAATACAGCTTCATTCTTTATGAGCTTTTTTCTTAAAAAAAAAAAAAGGCCCCACTAAACATTCATAAATTTTCCTTATCCACTGCCAAGTTGTTGGACACCTAGGCTGGCTCCATAACTTAGCTACTGTGAGCAATACTATAATAATCACTGCTGTGTAAATATCTCTGTAATACATTAACTTGGATTCCTCTGGTCAATACCCAGGAATGATGTGGCTGAGTCATACGGCATATTTATTCTGAGAAACCTCCATGCCGACTCTCACAGTGGCCACAACAATTCAGATCTCCACCAGCAATACATAAGGTTCTCTTATGTCCACATCCGCCAGCGTCTGTTGTTGCTTATTTTCTTGATGTCTGCCATCCTGGTGGGGTGAGATGGAATCTCGGTGCCATTTTTATTTGTGTTCCTCTGAAGCTGCGTACTAGTGAGGGAGAACACTTGTTCGTGTTTATTGTATTTCATCTTCTGAGAACTGGCTGTTCATTTCCCTAGCCCATCTGTTGGCTGGGTTGTTTGATTTTGTTGTTGTTCAACTTCTGGGGTTCTTTGTGTGTTCTAGATATTAACGCTCTGTCAAGTGTGCAGCTACTGAAGAATTCTCCCCATTCTGTGGGCTGCCTCTTCTCTCAATGTTTTCCTTTGCTACACAGCTTTTCATTTCAGAGGCTAAGCAACTAGAGCCCTGGCGAGAAAGCACTTGCCTATGCCAATATCTTGAACTATTTTCTCCGCTGCTTTCCCCTTACAGTTTCAGGGCTTAAATTAAGGCACTAGATTTTTTTTAGAGTTGAATTTCATGCAGGGTAGGAGACAGACAGGATAGAGTTTTATTCTTCCCCACGTGGCTATCCAGTCTGGTATACTTTCCCAGTTAGTATAATGTTGACTACAGGTTTGTCATGGATCTCCTTTATCTTGAAATGCATTCCTTCTCTTTCTTGTCTCTTTGGGACTTTTGTCACAAAGAATTACTGGATTTTTGACAAGAAGCCCTTCAACATACATTTCAACGGTCATGTGATTTACTTCGGATGATTTCTATGACATTTTACATTTATTGATTTGCATGTGTTGACCCACCCTTGCATCTCTGGAATGAAAGCAGCGTACTGTGGTGAATGGCACTTTTGATGTGCTCTTGAATTTGCTTTGCCGGCATTTTATTGAATTTGGTTTGCTGGCATTTTACATTTGGTTTTCTGGCATTTTACTGGTGATTCTTACATCTGTGTGCTCCATGGAATGATGAAACTCTGCTCACAAAGTCAGCATCCTCCTGCTACCACTGGTCCACACCTTTGCTTGTTGTCATGTCTGTGTCTGCTCGTGGTATCAGGAGGATGCCGACTTTGTGAGCAGAATTTGGCAGCACTCCATCACTCACTGTTTCACAGAGTAATTTAAGGATGATTGACGTAAGTTCACCTCTAACAGGCTGGTAGGATCCATCAGCAAATTTCTTTTGCCCTTCCCTTTGTCTAGGCGGGAAATTTTACATTACTGTTGCAATCTCATT